TATATATATGCCCCTGTGGGCCAATAAGCACTCTGATAGAGATCTACCGCATCTGGGCTAGGCTAGGCTACGTGTTGTAGCCTACTTCGTGAAGCTCAGTTTGCCTGGCAAAGAGGCAACCCACCTGCAGCGGGCGCGGACGCGATGATTCAGGGCCACAAACCCATAAAGACTGGAAATACCGCTGCTACGAAACCGATACCACACATATGGACGATATTGAATCAAAGATCGTTCATAACGTTATGCACGATCTTTGATTGTGTAGGCCCCTATATTCGTTTGTGATACTGAACCACCTCACGTCCTCATAACAAAAATCATTTAGTCCCCATTAATATCAAGGCACTGTTTTTTCATATGGAAATGACAGATGAGAGAGAGCTAGCAGTACTTTCTCTTTCATTTTTAGGCCTACAGTCGGTGAAATGATATCACGTGCTTTAAGTTCTAAGACGCAACATTTAAAATTATTTTCAAAATTTGGTTTATTTAAAAGCTGGGGCCTAAACACATAATTATAATATTATGTCGATATACCTATGGGATCCTTGATACAAATGGGATGATCATTAAATCAGAAAAAGCAACTGTTCACTAAATGCACATAGCTAAATAATTTTCATATAAACACCATGTTCTGAGAAATAATAAACGATGAATAGCAAAAAAAAAAACCTTTCGCTTTACAGTTCCTGAAAAGAACTCGATAGCCAATGGACTATATAGGCTTTCTCAGTGCTGAGAAAGCCTACTTAGTTCTTAGCCTAGGGATGATGAGTGCGTGAGTGCAAGCGTGCAAGATGATACCGATACCCATCAAACACGCCAGCGCTCGCTCCGATACCAAAGATTGTTATATGATCATTGCCGATACCCGTGCGCGATACCAGTGACCAAACAAACAATTCTGCAACACGGTAGCAAGAAGTAAGAAGACTGCAAGGCGGGATTCAAAACATTACAAGCAGTGAACGAGATTTTTTACGTGATTTATTTCTGTTTATGTCCCTGCAGTGATCAGGCATCAGCGGAAACATGGATTTATTTGTTGTTATAGGCTTGATTTTAGTTCAAGTAGCGTCTTATTCAACACTTTATGGATTGGTGAAATTCAGTTTGATTGGCTCCAAGGGCTTCTTGATTGGCAGCTATGTTTCGGTCATTGCTGTCCCTTTCTTGACGTACTTGTTGTTCCGAAGAGGTTTTAGGAATGTCGACCCATTGATGTACGGTAAGTTGTTGTTCTTTTACTGTAGGGTTGTATCTGTGTATTATTTGTTGCAGTGTTCTAATCAATGCCCCGTTCTGAAGTTATCGCGTGCGTGACCTACTTTCAATTTGAAAGTAGACAAGAGGGAATTTCAAATGGGAGGTAACTCGAATTTCATTTGTGTTGCCACTCCCACCCTGAAGGATAGATCAACTGACCGTGCCGTTGTGTCGACTACAAACAGTTGGGAGCAAAGCATTTTAAAAAAGTACAAACCATCTTTTGAGAATGTCTTAAAAAAATTTTTCTGAGGGGTCACAAAAAAAGAAGACCAAGGTAAAACGGATAAAAATGAACAAGTTGAACAAGAAAAGGCTAGGCATACAATAGATCTAGATCTAGATCTAGATCTAGAGAATCTAGAATTATATAGATCTAGTAGTAGATCTACAATAATAGCCTACACTTAAATACAGTTGCTTAGCCTACCAGTGCAGTTGAGCATGACAAAAGGTGGGAAGAATGAAGAATACCGGACCACTCGTACATTATTGCGCGAGAAAGTGGGGTTGGTGGGGCGGGCAGTAACCAATTTTGCATTTTGTCACCCTACAAAAACTAAAGTCCATGTAAACATGTAAACAAAATAAATCCCTCCAAACCCCCCC